GGGGGTTATCTTCTTGGCTTGTGGAGCTCCAAGAAGCTTCCTTTGTAAAGAAAGGACCCATCTTTGTGTGCCATTTTCGTGCACTTTGTAGTCAGAATCTTTGGAGCTGGTTGGATAGCTCCAAGAGCAACCTTTTTCTGAGTTTGAGCCTTGGGTAAGTGTCACCAACCTTGATCATGAGTTTTCTTTGTTTAAAGGTTGAGTCTTGGCATGTTAATGGGCTAAACATGTAACCAATCTGTTTATGAACTTAAAAGAGAGTAAAAATGCATGCTTTAACGTTTACAAGTGTTAAAAATGGAACCTTGGAAGTGATATCTCGCGAAATGCAAAAACTGCATTCTGCCGCGAAATATCCAGATATTGATATCCGGATATGGGCTCTGTGATATCCGGATATGCCCCCGACATATATCCGGATATTATGGATTTTCGAAGAATAGTAGATGTACTGTTCATACAGAAGGCTGTTATGGGTTTGTGGACACTAGATTGATGAAGTGGGACTTCTATAATAATTAAACTAAGTCAGAATCAAGTGATTAAGGGCTTGTGACTTTGTGAGAAGCCTTAAGACATGAAACGTAAAAGAGAAGCATTGTCTTTATGTATATGCTTATGAGCTATGGTTGTTGATATGATTGCTGGTCTGGAACAGATTGTGATTCTGCTGTGTTTGAGCTTTGAGCTTGTGTGGACTCTTGGCTTGGATAGCTAGCTTGCAAGGTAAGCTTTCATGTCATCGGTTTAGCCTTTGTGTGGTTCCACCATACCCCATGGAGGAATGGTTTATATGCATGATGTGTTTACATGCTTTAATAAATGAAAATGTTGTTGAGCTTTATGTGCAATTGCTTATTATATGTAAGTGTTGTTCCACTTAGACGGTAAGCCTGAGTATGTGGCGTCATACAAGACGGTGACACTGTGGGTGGGTGCAAGTGGCGTCTTGCACTAGTGTGGGTAATACACGTATTCCTGCATTTCTCTGGCCAGTAGATTAGTTATAACACACATGACATGATTATCTGCTGCATTGCACTGTTTTGGAACTTATACTGTTAAACTATTTTTGAACTTATATTGCACATATAAGTGAGCTTGGGGTGGAAGATCCTTGAGGATCCCTTGTCTTACTGAGATTTTTGTTTATAGATCTCACTCCACGTTTGAGGCGCTTATTTCAGGTTCAAGTAACGCAGGGGTTAAGACCTTTAGCAGCAGGAGGCCGGAGCTTAGTTGATTGATGTTTACCTTCTTATGCTGATTATGTTGGATGCTGGATTATATCTTCTGATGATATGCTTTTAGCTTGTTATTTATGTTGCTGTTGTTGAGACTTGATGAGTATGTTGTTTATTTGGTGAGCATGGGATTGTCCACGCCACATTGATTGACGATGTTAAGTTTATTCGAGTTGTATAATGGTATCAGGATTATGTCCGGACTGCGTGTTGTAGATCCGTGACTTAGATACTCACTTATTTATTTATGAGGTATTTCAGTTAGCTGTCTTTTGCAATTTACATACAGGCGATGTTTTTACGAAAATGATTATGTAATCAACTTGGCTAAGTATACACGGGGTGTGGCTTCATACGATGACATGTTAACAAACCGGGTATACACGGGGTGTTACAGTACATAGGTATTAACAAGAGTTGAAATGGTGTTGGAATTATGATCGATAAAAGTTTCAGAGATAAAGTTGTGGACGTCAAAAGGAAAGGCGACAAAATTATCCTGGTTAAGCTTGTAGTGGGTGATTTAATCCTGAATATCCTCAGTGTGTATGCACCCCAAGTTGGCTTGCAACCAATTGATAAAAGCCAATTTTGGGAAGACTTGGAGGAGGTTTTCAGGGGAATACCTCGAGAGGAGAAGATTTTCTTAGGAGGAGATCTAAATGGTCATGTTGGTAAAAGCAATGAAGGTTTTGATAGAATTCATGGAGGTTTTGGCTTTGGGACGAGAAACGAGACTGGAGCAGCTATCTTGAATGTTGCACTAGCCTACGATTTGATGCTATTTTTCAAAAAAGGGAGTCACATCTAATCACATATCATAGTGGCCAAAATCGTAGTCAGATTGATTTCTTTCTGGCTAGAAGAGAAGATAGAACTTCTTGTGTCGACTGTAAGGTCTACCCTGGAGAGTGTGTCGCTACGCAACATAAGCTGGTAGTCCTGGAAGTTTGGTTCAACAAAGTACTTACAATGAGGAAGAGGGCTCAGAACCGAGGATAAGGTGGTGGAAGCTTAAGGAGGGAAAAGAGAGAGTTCAATGAAAGAATGTTGCACGAAGGACCTTGGGAGTTTGATGGAGGAGCAAATGCAATATGGAATGAGATGGCTAAGTGTATTCAAAATATGGGAAGGAGGGTGTTGGGTGAAAGCAAAGGAAATGGATTTAATTCAAAGGAAACATGGTGGTGGAATGAAGAGGTGCAAGAGGCAATTAAACATAAGAATGAGTGTTTTAGATCTTTGCATAAAAGTCCCAGTGAAGAGAACTTGCAAAAGTTTAGATTGGCGAGAAAAATGCAAAGAAAGCAGTGCAAGAAGCTAGAGGCAAGGTTTTCGCTGATTTGTATAAAAATCATGGGAGCAAGGATGGTGAAAAAGGTATATATAAACTTGCAAAAATAAGAGATAAGAAAAGTAAAGACCTCACCCAAGTCCGATGCATCAAGGATGAAAATCAAAAACTTTTGGTGAGAGATGAAGATGTAAATGAAAGATGGATGAACTACTTCAACAAGCTGTTTAATGGGGATGGAGATATAAGCGAGGTGGACTTGGAGGACGCTTATGATGATTTGAATAGAAGATTTGTATGCATAATTAATACACATGAAGCTAAGGAGGCTTTAAAGAGGATGAAGACTGATAAAGCCTTGGGACCTGATGGTGTCCCTATTGAAGTGTGGAGAGGCCTGGGGGATGTGGCAATAAAATGGTTGACCAATCTTTTCAATAAGATTCTCCAGACTAATAAGATGCCTGATGCATGGAGGAAAAATGTGATTATGCCTATCTAGAAAAACAAGGGAGATATACAGGATTGTTCAAATTATAGAGGCATTAAGCTAATGAGCCATACTATGAAGTTGTGGGAGAGGGTTATTGAGCATCGCTTGAGGAGAGATACCAAGGTTTTTGTAAATCAATTTGGATTTATGTCAGAAAAATGTACCATGGAAGCCATTTTCTTGATGCAACAACTAATGGAAAGATATCGAGAAAAGAAGAAGGACTTACATATGGTGTTCATAGACCTTGAGAAAGCATACGATAGGGTTCCAAGGAATGTTCTATGGTGGGTTCTGGAGAAGAAAAAGGTACCATCAAAGTATGTAAAGGCAATGGAGGATATGTATGATGGGGCTACTACATGTGTGAAAGCTTGTAACGGAACATCAAGGTATTTCCCTATCGCGGTAGGTGTACACCAAGGGTCGGCTCTAAGTGCTTATCTCTTTGCCTTAGTTATGGATGAACTAACAAAAGATATTCAAGAGGAAATGCCATGGTGTATGCTTTTTGTTGACGATATTGTGCTTATTGATGAGAGCAAGGATGGTGTTAATAGAAAACTTGAATTGTGGAGAAGCACATTGGAATCTAAAGGATTCACATTAAGTCGAAGCAAGACTGAGTATCTGAAGTGTGAGTTTTCTCTGGTAAGAGAGGTAGACCAAGTCCCGTGCATCTAAGTGGTCAAGAGGTACCCAAGAAAAACGCTTTTAAATACACGGGCTCCATTTTGCAAAAAGGTGGAGAGACAAGAAGCAGAGACAAGCAGAGACAAGAAGCTTCCATCGAAGCTAAATGACTTTGTGGCTTGAAGTCTTTTTCTTAATTGTATCAGTAGTTGTGCATGTAATTGATGTAGTGTTAAAACAGTTAGTTAACACGTGTCTGTCACATGCATCCATTGGGTGATTGGATTAGTTAGCTGACACATGGCTAGTGTGTTGGCAAGTTAGTTGGTGAATTAGTTGTATAAAGACACTTGATAGAAGACATTGGAGGAATTCATTGAAAAAACAACTGAATACAAATTCTTACTTTCCTTTCTCGTTCTGTTCTCTTCTTCTTAGGTTTCTACAAACCTAACAGATTGATGATGATGTAAATCATAGAATCAGAGTAGGGTGGATGAAACGGCGCAGTGCATCTGGGTTTTTGTGTGACTGCAAAATCCCCCTTAAGTTAAAAGGAAAATTCTATAAAATAGCAGTAAGACTTACAATGCTATATGGAGCTGAATGCTGGCCAGCACATAGGCAACATGAACATAAAATAGGAGTAGCAGAGATGAGGATGTTAAGGTGGATGTGTGGTTATACGATGATGGATAAGATAAGAAATGAAGATATTCGACGAAAGGTAGGAGTACTACCGGTGGCTGAGAAGATGAGAGAACATAGGTTGAGGTGGTTTGGGCACGTAATTAGAAGGCCCCTGGATGCTCCCGTAAGAACATAAGTTTGTTACCAAGAGCTCAACACAATAAGAGGTAGAGGTAGACCGAAACTTACTTGGGGGAAGGTAGTAAAACAAGATTTAATGGAGTGAGATATAGATTGGCGGATGGTATGCTTTAGAACGGAATGGAGAAAAGCTATAAGCATGCTGGAGGGTTAGACTCGTTATTCCTATGTTCCAGATGGTCTCTTTTAGTCTTTTTCCCCATCTTCTTCTTTTCCATTTCTTTTTTACTTTTCTTTTTATATATATATATATATTATTACTATTCTATTTGTTTATTTTTATTTTTACCTTTTTTTTCAACTTTTTTGTATCTCTCATTTGGGTTCATCTATACCATCGACTCCAATTAATTTGAGATAAAGCTGTTGTTGATCTTGATCATAAGTTTTCACACGAGTAATAACACCATCATACATAAACTTTATCGCATTGCAAGAGACAAGAGGTCAATAGTAAAGACTAAAAGTTATTTTAAATTTAATTTTTTATTTGATATAAACCATTACTTCGCATACCGTTGGGCATTATTTATTTGATATCAACCGTTACTTCGTTACATCCAAAGCAAGTGGATACATGGTGATATCTAAAGGGAACTCACAAGAAAGAAAAATCCAAGGCATGGCAAAGCAACAATTAATTTAGTTCACTTGAGAAGGAACTTTTGCAGCCAAAAAGCAGAGTACTTGGGATATCTTTTCAAATTATCCTTGTAATCCACGTATATGAGGCCAAAACGAACTGTGTAACCAGCATCCCATTCAAAGCTGTCTGAAAACGACCATGCATAGTACCCCTTCACGTTAACACCATCTCTGCAAGGGAAAGGAAAAGCAAAAAGTAGCACATACAAATCATTATGAACAAGATATGTTCTGATTAATTTTTTTGTTAAAATAAACTCTCACTTGATCGCTTGAAGAAGGAATTTAAGATGGCCATCATGGTATCTAATCCTGATACCATCCTTGCGGGCTTCATTGACTGGTATTGAGTCATTCCTTGCTTCAGCCACCCCTACAAAAATTGAGAGCCAAATAATATTAATTTCTAGGTTCTTAAAATAAGTAATCTAATAGCCTCTCTATTTACTAACAAAAATAAAATTAAACTGTATAGTATTTACCATTTTCAGTAATGAAAATTGGTGGATTCTTATAATTATCCTTTATGTATGTCATAAGCTGATGAATTCCCTTCGGATGGATAAAGAGCCAATCCAAAGCAGTCTGCATAACCATAAAATTTTGCTTTATTAGTTTTAATAGAAAGACCTGTTCACAGCCAATTGTACGGTTTCCTTAGCTAAAAGGGGTTTAATTTTGTTCTGGACATATATAATGAGCCTCACAAGTCCCATCAGATTTCGGAAACTCAAACTCCCCACCCAGATAAAAACTTTCTCCATAAATAAATAGTTAAACTTCACGCATACACACTTCTTTTGGAAGATAGCGCCACATTAATACACTCTCCCTCTCTTCGAATAACCCAGGTGTAAGGACTCAACTCGCCTTTAACCAATTCCCAGGCTCTAATGAGCCCAACCCAGCTCTACCATTGTCAAGTGGTCTAAGGGAAACCACAACGAGAGATCACCATCAATAGTTTAAGTTAGTTCATTTATATTAAATGGATTCAATACCATATCTCAATCTAAAACCTTAAAGTATTGGATTTATGAATTTTCTAATTTATATAAACTTCACTTAACTAATTATTAACCAATATGGGACTCATCGTACTTGAATTCTCAACATGTATTACATTATCAACCAACCAAGTTGCATTAGTTTAAAGAGAAAGAGAGAAAATTCATTATACCGGAGTCCCAACAGCTAGACCATTCTTTTCCGCTGAGATCAAGAGAAAAAATTGTTGCTTGTATTTGTCAGTTCACTGTTATAAAACGTAGTATAAAACCATTTAAATTTTACTTTTGAGTTTGGCCATGTGTACTTACTACTGAGAGTGACTAGCATGTCTGTGTAGAAGGTCCTGTTGGAGTTGGCCGGTGCAGCATTTTCTGCATAATATGTGGTGTAATAATTCACCCCAAGAAAATCAATGGAACCTTTGATACTTTCGGATTGAGCTTCTGTGAATTTGGGTAGTCTATAACCCACTGAAGATCTCATACTCTGAGGATAGTCGCCATATGTAATCGGATGAGCAAACCTGAAAAAATGAGTCTGTCCACTTATATTGTTTATGAAGAATGTTTATATCGACAATTTTTTTATTTTTTTTATAAACTTACAAATTATATTATGTTTTACGTGTAATGATAAAACATAGTTTATAAAAAAAATTATAAATATAATTTATCCCTTATTTATCAATCAAAATATTTTTCATAAGTAATCGATCAAATTAAGTTCAATTTCCAATGATTTTCCCACTTTATTTTTAATTCGAGAAATACATACCATCCAAAAAAGAAGTCCAGAGCTCGACTTGCAGCCTTGCGATCCGCGATACTATTAGATTTTGGTTCAAAATAGTGAGTGGGTAAGGTGATTCCAATTTGTCCTTTTTGATGAGCCTATAGAACCACAATAAATTCTATCAATTGGACAACCTAGCTAATTCACTTGAAAAATAAATTCATATTATGGAACCAATGCTGGTAAGAAAATTAATTAATAATGATAGTAAATATAAATGATGCATTGAGAAGAATAGCTTAATCAAATTGATTTGATATAAACGAAATATTAGATGTCAAATATAAATTTAATTGGTTTTACTGGAGAAGAATAAATAATTAAATTCAAAAAAGACATCAATGTAAGATTGTTGGTGAAAAACGAAAATCAAGCAGGAATGAGAAGATGCAGAAAAAATATTTTTTTAAAAAGGCAACATTATTGAGGCGCAAATTAGTAACAAAAAATTAATCAAGTAGAATAAAATTATTTTGAAAAACAAAAATTTAATTTTAGTTAAATTTAAAATAATAATAATGTTAAATTACGCATGTAAATGAAAACTAATAAATAAGACTATGGGTGTGCATTGAACTGAACTCAACTAATAAATTTATTGTCAGAACCATTTTGAGAATTGAACTGATTTTGTAAATCAAAAGAACCGATTCGAAAACTAGGTTAGAACCGATTCAGAATCAATTCAAAAATTAGGTTGAAATGGGTATGGAATCAGTTCAGAACTGATTCGGAATGAGTTCTGAACCATATCAGAATGGGTTTGCATACTCAAACCGGTTCCGAAACATGAACTGGTTCAAAAACATAAGTTGATTCTTAGCCGTTTCTGAATTGGTTCTGAAAAAATAAAAACAATTCAATTTGCTGTTCTGCCAAAAATTGGGTTAGGATCGACCCATATCTACCCTTGAATTACACAAAACAGACCTGACTAGTCATTTTTTTCCATCTTAAATACAATAATTATTTTCCCTCAATTTTTTTGCCATGTATAGAGACGACCATTTTTATTTTTATTTTTGAAGCAAACCTGATATTTTCTCTTGTACAATCTAGCAGCCGCCGCATGAGCAAGTAGTAAGTTGTGGGCAACGATGTAAGGCTCGGTGGATGAGTCACCCGCAGTGCAATTTGCAACGTATTTAGAACATCTACCTGGTGCAAAGGTGCCACCATTGTACCCATTCATACTGAATGATAAGGGCTCATTCAGAGTGACCCAATCTTTTACCCGGTCGCCAAATGTCTTGAAACAAAAATCAGCGTAGTTTCGAAAATCCTCCCTAATTATTCATTGCATTAAAAATAAACCTAGTTACTTTTCTTTTTTCCCCTAAGAACTAAAATTAACACGAAATTGATGGGTAATTTGGCAATTAATTACTGTTACTTACACTACTTCTGGACTACGAAATCCCTCATATTCATCTTCAAGAGCTTGTGGGAGGTCCCAATGAAAGAGAGTCACAAAAGGAATTAATCCTGAACACCAAATAAGCAAAAATACGAGTTACCAAGGCAAAGTTGGAGAATAAATCAATGAATTCCTCTCTCTGCACTTGCACACATGAACTTTCAAGTATTTCTTTTTTCTTTTTTTTTTTTACAAAAGGGATAATTAGGTAGGAGTAAAGTTTCTTTTGGGTCGTTAACAAAAAAATATGGTTTCCCACATTCATCCCTTACACAAAAAAAAATAGTCTCAAGGTTCTTAAGAAATTCAAAGTAGACCCATTTAGTTGAAGTGGTCCCTCACAAATTCAAAAAAGATCCACATTAGTCAGGTTTGACATTCTCAAATGAGTTAATCTCTAGATATGAGAGCCTTCACTGTGATTTTGTTTGCCTTCTGTACAGGTAGTGTTGACTTTTTTATTCATCATTATAAATAAAACAATAATGTATAGATGTACACGAGTATATTATCATATTTGTTTTGGAGAATTGATAAGATTTTTTTTGGGGAGGGGAGGGGTAAATGATACCTGCAGCTTATTATGGAAGCAACTAGATTACGAGTGGATTCATAACCTTATATTTAAAGGTTGATTTAAACTTTCTTTACAAAAAAAAATTTGGGAGCACTGTCTCCGATTCTCCAACACTAAATATGCAGACATAAACAAAACTTTCTGGGTCAGCCACTGCGATGAATGAATGGATAAATCAACTATTAAGAAATGTTTTACCATTAGATACGATATCATCAATGAGATTGTTGTAGAATTTAACACCCAAGGCATTGACTGCTCCCTTGCCCTCTGCAGGAAATAATTGAATACTCGTAAATCACTTTTCCACGTTATGTTATAACATGTCTGGTACTTATTATTTTTATCTTTTAAATTTCTCAACTGATTTGGTCCAGTTGGGCAATATCACAAGGGCGACAAAGCTATCGATATTAAGTTTTTAACATAATTACATATCTAAGACTCGAATTTGAGATCAGTGATTAAGTTGCTTAACATGAAAGAGAATGTCAAAACTAGTTTCACGTTAGGATCATCTTACTGGGAAATATTCTGGACCATGAGAGGGAAAATCTGAAGGAGTCCAGCCCAATTCCTTTCACAATCTTTATGTCACTCTGCGAAATTGCATCAGCAGTTTAATTCTCTATTTCAATATATGTTAATTGTTTTGCTTAGGGGACTTTAATGATGACCAATGTTTTGTCCTTTAAATCTACCTTGTACCGATGATATAAATCAACTGATACATCACCGTTGCTGTGATCCCAGATCTTTTCTGCTCATTCCAAAAACAAACAATAAAAAAAGAAAAAAAAGAAAGAGATTGAACTCTTGTTAGGACACTTCAACCACACAAAAGTAAAGGTATACATTTTTATATTCATATAAGCTATTCCAATGATAAACTGAGAGTGAGATTCAGACAGAGAAAGAGATAGGAACCTTGATGCTGTTTAGTATAGGTGTCCCATATACTTGGTCCCCTGCCATCTATATGTGCTGCTCCTTCTGCCTGAGTAATTAACAAAACAACAGAAATGGGAGACAATTCATGCATAATTTCTGTTCAAAAAAACACAGTGACTAGAGATTTGAATAGTTTGTAGCAAACTAATATGCTAAACCTCTGTTGTGGGATATGCTAGCAAAAAAAAAAAAAAAGGAAATTAGTAATTAAATGCATTGTTATGTTGTGAAACAGACCTGATAAGCAGAACAACCAATACCAAATAAGAAACCAGAGGGAAAAAGGCTTCTATTGAATGTTGCAGCATAGTGACTTGGCTCCACGCTTGGTGGTGCACTTCCGGAGCCACCTGCCAGAAGGGTGGTTAGAGATATAAGGCAGAGGAGGAAAGGACCTTTAACATTCATGATATCTGCTTTGTATATCTAAAAATCTGGCGAATGCTATGTATTTAAATACATAGAGTAGGGAATCTGCATAATTATATCATTTATTAAACTTTTTTTTATTAACTTTATTAAACATTTTCTATTATGTCTCTGAATTAAATGTCATTGTAATATTTTGAAATGGATTGATTCCTAGGCGCAGTTATAGCATTTGAAAAGCTTTATATATACGGGAAAACTGTGTATCATTTTAAATGATGTAAAGTTGTGTTATTTTAAATGAGAGAAAGAGATAGATAAAGAAGGAGAAAGTGGACAGAAAAATATAAAGGTGTGGGTCCCACCTCTTTGTGAGAGTAAAAGGATATAAGTTGTGTCATTTAAAAGGACAAACACTGTATTCAAAAAAAAAAAGGACAAACATTTTTCCCTATATATATATATAGAGAGAGAGAGAGATAGGATCTTTTGACATCAGTGTCAAATTTGTAATTTGACACCTAATCTGAGAGTCATTAGATAAAAAAAAAAATCAACAACTCTGATTTGTAAGCATACGACCCCGTTGATCTTTTTTGATCTAATGACTCTTAGATGAGGTATCAAATTTCAAATTTGACACTGGTGTCAAAGGATCCTACCTCATATATATATATATTACAAAGGGAAAACGTTTGTTAGAAAGTTTGATAACGTGTCGCGCTCTCCTTCAATTTCAGCTTTGTGTTCACACTTAAAGGAATTTGAAATGTTTCTTGTTATAGTAACTTTTTAAATTATTTTTTAAGCTTAAAATTTTAAAAAATCAATTGAAATCCAATTAAAAAAAAATCAATTTTGACAAACACAATTAAATTCCCACTATCTCTTTATTGGAAGCTGCGAAAGTTGAAAGCTGCAACAATTTATTGCACCTTATTGGGAGCTGAAAAGTTTTTTAAAGTTGTGCCTTAGTGGAAGCTAAAAAGTTTTTTGCAATATTTAATGCACAAGCCAAATTCGATAGTGTATAAACAAAAAGATAGAGTAAATATCATTTTGGGTCCCTAACAAAAATACAGTCTCCACTTTAGTCCCTTACAAAAACAAATTAGTCAGTTAGTTCCTAACAAATTCAAAGTGGACCCATTTTAGTCCTTTTGAGGGACTAATATGGGTCTTTTTTGAATTTGTGAGGGACCACGATTTCAACTAAATGAGTCCACTTTGAATTGTTAGGGACTAACTGACTAATTTATTTTTGTAAGGGACCAAAGTGGGGACCGTGTTTTTTGTTAGGGACCAAAAATGGTATTTACTCTAAAAGATATGTTGCATGGGAGTTGTTCTTTAAGAATTCGCCTGTAATCACATTTTTCATCTCCACTACTTTCTTCATCTTCTCAACTTATTCTTCTACGTTATCTATTATTATACCTTTTTTATGTACTCCAAATATGATTTCATAAAGGATCTTAATCCGTCTAAGGAGGAATGGAGGATTGAGGTTAGGGCGGTTAGGACTTGGAAGGTTCCTAATTTTTAGCATAAATGTTTTGATGATAATGTGGAGATGATTCTTTTAGATGGACATGTAATAGTTTTTCTCTTACCATTTGCAATTCTATTAGGGTGGAAGAATCTATGCTATTGTCAAGTTGTTCTTATATTAGATGAACATGTAATATTTTTTGTTTTTTGTATTTTTTTGGCAATTCTGTTGTATAGCAAAGCCGACTGGAAGATTTGGAATCACTAAAATATGTACTTTTGTACTTCCTCAGATGAAGGTACGACATTCTTCTTTATCTGTTTTTCTTCTACAAGTAATTTTTCCATAATTCTTTTCCTTTTTGAATATTATGAAATAAATAAATTGCACAATTGAGTTGATATTATTCTGGAAAAGTATCTTTAGGCATGATATATTATAAAATAAATAAATTTTTTAGTATATACAATGATTCTCACAACCATTGCGAAATATGGATCACAAGCCTGAGTGTATTTTGTGGGAGCGGTATGTAGATCAAGTACAAACTTTCTTGGCAAATAATCAATCTCCTCAAAATGTGAAAAAATGATTTCAACGTATTTTTCAATAGTTCTTCCTCATTTTATGCTTATGTTTCAGGGTTATCAATGAGGAAAACGCGAAAAATGCATAATGGTGGAAAATTAAAAGATCAAGCTTTAAAACAGTGAAAGCAAACAATCTACCATGAAATCAACATCATCAATGAAATTAGGGTTAAGAAGAAGAAGAACGGTTGGTGAGTATATTATATGGAAGAAGAAGATATGGATTACCCTCTTTTAGTTTTTCAATTTTCTAGCTTCCTATTTTCTTTTTTTTCTTTTTTTCTTTTATTTGTATATGAACCATGCAATTGTGGCTTCATATACAAATAATATATTATTATATTTTCTTATTTTTTTTTTCTCCCACGAACACAATTACTAATATCCTTTTTATATCCAAAAAATAATGATTTTCCTTTATGTATGACTTTTTTGATGTATCCTTTGTATATCTTTTTTTTTTCTCCAGCAAAATTAAATAATATTCAAAACTTATTTCGGTAAAACTTTCAAAAAAGTAATATGTTTTAAATGTGAATAAACGATTGAAATTCCAAAAACATCTCATAATAAAGGAAAATAAGTTTTGAAATTGTGCAAATAACCTAAAACTTCTGTTTGTTTATTATTTATGTTTCTTTATATTTTCATCTTCTCGAGCTTTACTTCTATAATATTCAAGCTAAAATTTGAAAATATTAATTCCATTGTTTAGTTTCATATAAGAAAAAGTATAAAAAAATACATATTAAATAAAACACATGCAAGCCAAAAATGCGATCCAAGTAATGCATCATATGAGATATCGTTTGGAATTTCTATTGCAAACTTGAATCAGTTGAAAAATTCAAGAAATTCGTTTTCTACTTCTGATTGTGTGAAAAATTTCAAAGGTCACGGTAGACATTTTTAAAACAAAAAGTAATTATATTACTATAACACCTCGCATTTCTAAATTATATATTAATATATTAAACATGGATTAAAAGGGAAGGATTAATGAAAATTCGGAAGATTAGGTCAAAATACAAAGGAAGGGTAAAACGGTAATTAGCCAAACACGCAACCCTAAAGAAATGGATTTAGAATGAAAAATTGAGTGGTTAGGCAAGTTTCAGAAAATTCAGTGAATAGTATTTTTTACCGGGTAAAAATATTGCGGTACAGTTGCACCGTTAAGAGTGCCGATTGAGTTTTGAGCTCTAGGTTTGGATATAAGTTATAAATGGAATATATGACTAGGAAATATGATTTCTAATGAAAATTGATGGAAAATAATAAGTTTGGGGAAGCGTGCCTACGGCGCACGTAACAGTTCAAAAGTGCATTTTCTCTGAACAACCGAAAAACTTCGGATTCATCTGATCAAGGGTAATTAAAGGACAATGGTTAATGTTAAAAATTAGAGTTTCTAAATAGGTTATAAAATTATAGACGTTTAGTGGAATCAGAGGGATATTTGAATTAGTTTGAAATCGCGTGAGGTGACGGTGGGGCCTACCTCACTTAAGACACATGTGCATAGGACTATTCATCATCACTTCCCCCTCCCTTTCTCTCTCCAAACCCAAGCCCTAACCCCCTCCATGGCCAAATTTCTTTGAAATTCCATTCTCCTTTAACTCCATACACAACCGAATCAAGTGAAGTTTTTCTTGAAACTTGTTGGAAATCACCTCCTAAACACAATGGTGGTAGCCTTGAGCCATGAAACCCACTAGATTTTGAGAAACCCCCCCCCCCCCCAAACCCGCAGCCATTGTGTGTAGATTTGCACTCATGGAGTTGTTTGGTTCTCCAATGGTTTAGTATGATGTGGAGGAGCACTAGGCCAAGCTATTGAGTAAGTTTCATCATATTCTATTGGTTGGATTAATGGATTTTATTCATGAGCCCTAGAGTCACTTTGTATGATTTGTGTAGTTAGAGAGCTCAATTTGAAAATGTGTATTAGATGAATATGTCTTAGAATGATGTGTGGGAGTCATAAATGCCATAAAATTTATTGTTGAAAATTAATGATAACTTAGTGAAATTTTAGTGTGATGCCATGAATTGGTGAAATTGGATTGGTTATGTAATTGTGTAATTGAGTGGTTGGATGTTTGTATGAGTTGATAATATGATTGTGTGAGGTGTGGAGTAGTTGAATTGGATTAAAAAATCCTTGGTATAGGCCAAGGGAGAATTCAGCCATAATGAGTAAAATGAGGAATTTGATGTTGTGGAATTGTATGATTGGTACATTGTGTTGTTAAAGGGTAATTAGAAGGGTTGTGTGATGGTTGAATGCTTTGAAAATCAATAGAAAAATATTAGATTGTGTTGAATTGTGTATTGTCCCTAGAAGGAAATAAATGGGAAAAATGGTGTTAGGATGGTGTAAAATGAAAAGTGACACCTAAAATGGCATTTTGGTAGCCTTAGAGTGCTTAGGAAAAATAGAAAGAAAATAAAGAAAAATATTTTGTGTTTTAACATATGTATGGCCGAACTTCACTTGTGGGGGGAGGAAAAATTGACGTTTTGTGAATTTGATGGTTTACCGTGTTCTGACGATCCGTATATGGTCGTTGTAGGTTACCTTCCGCGGATTTGAACCTTGAACAGTGAGCTCGGTGGGTTGCCCTTGGTCTCGGACTAAAAGGGATTGAGGTAAGTCTTTTGGGACCATGCATAGGTACTTGAAAACTTGAATGTGTTGTGTGAATGGTAATTAATTGAGAATGTCCTCTGTGTAGGCATTTCTGTTGTGTAACTAGCTCGGAAAATATATTGCATTGGAGCTGCAGGAGAAGATTATACAGGTAACCTCTTGGTACTGGGTTTTGATCCCCTTGTGTGTTCCACCATGCCCATTGAGGGTAATGGTAGGAAGTGTACGTAAATGATATAGGATAACATGCTCATGTATATTGTATGTGTTACGGTATGGAAAATATACACCGTTGAATGCGTCGCGCTCTCAAATCTGGAGAGAAGTGGCAATGATGGAGATGAAGAAAGTAGACAGACCCCGGCCCATAATCGACATAGGAGGTCTGGACAAGTCCAAATACTGTGCTTTCCATGATGGACCGGGTCACACAATCGATCAATGCTGGGATCTCCGAGATGCTGTGGAGAAATTTGTGAGAGATGGACGATTACGCCAATACGTGATCAAAACCCAGGGCTCTAGAAAAAGGAAGTTAGGAAACAGAAAGAGAAATAAAAGCCCGATTCCTGAGAAGAAAAACAAGGATGACAGGAACCACAAAGATGATTCCAACCTTGACGAATTCCCGGAAGCGAAATTTGATTGTAACGTAATCAGTGGAGCCCTTGGAGGATGGGGCGACACCGTAAGTGTAAGAAGGAAGTACTTGAAAGAGGTCCTTTCAATTCGGAACCGTCCTAAATTCAAGGAAGACCCAAGCAAACCAGATCCTCCTTTGTTGTATTTTACAAAGGAGGACATGCATGGTGTGTTTCCAGGACATGTTGACGGACTAGTCATTGCTGGAACCCTGGTAAACTGCCGGGTTAAGAAGATTTTTGCTGATGTAGGGAGTAGTGCCGACATCATACTATGGGACGTTTTCAAAAAGATGAACATGGATGAGGAGGACCTCAAACCTTGCAAAACAACTTTGATAACTTTTAATGGAGAGCATACACTTCCTAAAGGCTACATAGATCTCAGGTTGACCCTGAGAATCAAAGAAGCGTTCAAATCAGAACGGGTAAGATTTATAGTGGCCGACTTCCCGTCAGAATATAATATAATTCTCGGGAGACCAACTATACACCAGTGGGACATGCTGGTTTCCAAGAAACACCAAAAGATAAAGATGCTAAGCAGTAAGGGTGAAATAATTACTGCTTGTGGGGATCAAAAGGAGTCCAGGGGATGCTATTTCGACACCGTCAAAGATAATGAAGATGGACATACAGGTCCACCCCAGATTCATGCAGGGGATAAACAAGGCAAGAACACAATCCCGCACCACTCCAAGAAGCCTGTTAATGTGGTTGAACTCGTCATGAGAGAAGAAATAATACCGAGACCCGAACCTGATGAAGAGCTAGAAAATCTCACATTGGGAAAAGAACCTGGTCAATTTACCTAAATTGGTAAGACCATAGATCTTCAAATAAAAGAAGAATTAGCCGATTTCCTCAAGAGCAACACAGATGTGTTTGCTTGGAAGTCGTCTGAAATCCCGGGCATTGATCCTGCCTTCTGCTGCCACAAGCTGGCAGTTTATCCTGGATCTATGCTGGTTTCCCAAAAGAAAAGGAAGTTGGGACCAGAAAGGAAACAGGTTCTAGAAGAACACGTTAAGGAGCTGTTGGATGCCAGGTTCATTCGGGAGATACAGTACACAACATGGCTTGCGAACGTGGTGATGGTAAAAAAGCCAAATGGGAAATGGAGAGTCTGTCCTGATTACAGGGACTTGAACAAAGTTTGCCCAAAGGATTCTTATCCTATGCCGAACATAGACCAGCAGGTAGATAACTCGGCGGGATTTCGTTTATTGTCCTTTATGGATGCCTACTCGGGGTATAACCAGATTCCAATGTACTCGGGGGATCAAGAAAAAACCGCCTTTATTGCTGAAAAGGCCAATTATTGCTACAATGTAATGCCATTTGGGCTTAAAAACTTATGGGCAACCTATCAGAGGATGATGAATAAAGTTTTTGAAGATCAGCTGGGCAAGAATGTAGAAGTATACATTGACGATATGATTGTAAAGTCATTTGATATGACGAAACATGTCCAGGATCTCGAGCAGACATTTCAAAAGCTCAGGAAGTACTGTATCCGTCTAAACTCGGTAAAATGTGCATTTGGAGTCACAGCTAGGAAGTTTTTGGATTTCATGCTAACCTATAGAGGAATTGAAGCAAATCCTGACAAATGCAAGGCAGTACTTGATATGAAAGTACCCCAGAATAAAAAGGAGGTTCAACAGTTAACCGGTCGATTGGCTGCGCTAACCCGGTTCCTGCCGAGCCCTCCCATTCTTTAAATTATTAAAGAAAGAAGCAATAGAAGGCTGAGAACCCGGAGTGCCAAGCCGCGTTCGACAAAGTCAAGAAATGCTCTTAGCAACTGCACCAGTGCTCTCAAAGCCAGTTCCAGGAGACATTCTATTCCTGTATCTCGCTGTGGGGGAGGAGGCAATAAGTGCTGTCATGATCAAGGAAACTAACGAATGCCAAGAGCCGATTTATTTCGTCAGTAGAGCCTTACAAGGTGCAGAGGTCAGATATCAAAAGCTAGAAAAGGTGGCTTTTGCTTTGCTGATCACGGCCAGGAGGTTACGACCATATTTGCAAGGGCATCAAATAATAGTCAGGACCAATCAACCTATACGGCAGGTGTTGCATAAGTCGGACCTGGCAGGAAGAATGACTAAACTGGGCAATCTCAGTGAGTACGACATAGCATATGAAAGTCGGAAGGCCATCAAGTCACAAGCTCTGGCCGACTTCATAATGGAGCTGACACCGTTGAACCCGGAACATGAAGAGTCTAGGGGTGCATGGAAGGTCTACGTAGATGGATCCTCCAACAATAAAGGAAGCGGAGCTGGAATCATACTAGAAAGCTCATAAGGAGTAACAATTGAACACTCCTTAAACTTGGGATTCCCGACTTCGAATAATAAAGCTGAATATGAAGCTCTGATAGCTGGTTTGATGCAAGCTAAAGAACACGGAGCTAGAAAAGTACAAATCTTCAGTGACTCACAATTGGTGACTTCACAGATAGAAGGAAAGTATCAGGCCAAAGGTTCTCTACTAATGAAATACTTGAACAATGTTCTAGAAATAATGGCCGATTTTGATGAGGTGCAGGTTACTCACACCCCTCGAGGGGAGAATAGCTGAGCTGATATCTTGTCAAAATTAGCAAGCACCAAGAATCCGGGTATCCACAGAACTGTGGTACAACAAAGCATAACAATGCCGAGCTGCGTAATGGTGATAACCTCGGCAAATGACTGGAGGAAACCCATAGTGGCTTACTTGGAAAAAGGAATATTGCTAGAAGATCATCTGGAATCCAGAAAGCTGGTCCGAGATGCGACACAATACATAATTGTGAATGACCAGCTATTTAGAAAGGGTTTGCAAATCCCTATGCTGAAGTGTTTGAACTCGGAAGGAGCAGAATATGTCCTCGCCGAGATACATGAAGGAATCAACGACCATCACATGGGAGGCAAAGCTCTGGCTAGAAAGGCCCTTCGAGCTGGGTATTACTGGCCGACAATGGAGGCAGACTCTAAAGAACACGTCAAGAAATGTGACAGCTGCCAGAAACATGCCAAATTAATCCTTTCACCACCTGAAGAGCTGAAATGCATCTCAGCTCTATGGCCCTTCTTCAAATGGGGAATGGATTTACTGGGAGTCTTCAAAGCTGCTGAGGGGCAACTTAAGTGGTTAATTATGGCTGTGGATTACTTCACAAAATGGATAGAAGTAGAGCCAGTCACCACAATCACCTCGGCCAGAGTGCAAAGGTTATTTGAACGGAACATTGTTTCCAGATTCGGAATACCAGCCGAGGTGGTCATTGATAATGGAACACAGTTCGCTGATAAAAGATTCCAGCAGTTAATGAAAGACCTACAAGTCACACATCACTTTGCATCTGTGGAACACCCACAGTCGAATGGGCAAGCCGAAGCAGCCAACAAAGTGATTGTGAACGGTCTCAAAAAATGAATGTTTGATGCTGAAGAAAGATGGGTACAACAACTATACTTTGTCCTATGGGGTTACAGAACAAGTACCCAAACTGCAACAGGGGGAACCCCTTATCAACTAACATATGGATGTGAAGCCATGATTTCGGTGGAAGTTGGAGAACCCTCTTGGAGAAGGCTGAATAGTATTGAACAAGACGAGCAACAAAACAGTAAACTGCTTACTGAGGAGTTAGATCTTGTAGATGAAGCCAGAGTTACAGCTCACTGCCGGGATATGTTGGCAAAATAGCAAACAGCAGTCAAGTATAATAAAAAAGTGAGACCAAGAATCTTCGAGATAAATGACTTAGTACTCAGGATAGCAGATATTGGCAATAAAAACGCCAGAGATGGAAAGCTAGCTGCCAACTGGGAATGCCCGTACCGGGTTAAAGAGAAGCTTGGGAAAGGAGCTTACGTTCTAGAGACGATAGAAGGTAAAGGAATCAAGAGAACCTGGAACGCGGATAAGTTGAAGATATATTACAGCTAAATCCTGGATCCACTTTCTGATTTTTGAAACTTTCATCTCGGCTATATTTTCCTCTATTAGAGATTTAATTAAAGCCGAATATGCCGGCAAATTCATGTAGTTCTTAATTTGATATCAATAAATGAGGAATTTTTCTTTATAAAGATTTATCCTTGTCTATTTCAGATGCATCAATACAAAATCATAGGTACAGATAAAATTTGCCATAGTGACTCTGATCAAGTTGAAATGTTTCCCATTCTGGTCAAGATACCAAAGAGGACAGATGGCAGTATTGTTTTTACCTTAGATTAAATTGAATTATGAAAATCAAATTCAATCAAATGGTTGAGTCAATAAAGACGAGATCCATTATTAATACAGGCTTACCAGAATGAGTAAGTCAAAACAAACATGCATCATCGAGAATGACATAAAACAGAATCCGTACAATGCTTTGACCTCGGCCAGGTCAACAATAAGAACTCGTAAAATGCACGGGTTTAGTAAATTTAGTTGAGTTGAAAGATTACACCAATGAGTAGTGTAAGATACTCGAATAAAATTTAATACGTATAAAACTCGTAAAATACACGGGTTAAGTACACGTATCCAAGTTGAAATTGCAACCGATAACTTGGAGTACAGCTTGGATGAAGTTTATTACATAACTCAGAAAACCCGGGTTTTGAAAGTAAAGTCAACTCGAGTTGCGACTCGAATTTCATACTGAGGGGCATCTCGGACAAGGTTTAACGTATGCGCAAAAAGACTAAGTTATAAACTTAAGTAATGCAGAGACGAGCTAAACTTTTATCAAAAGTGAATGCGGCTCTGTGGAAACATACCGGGTTATGCAAATCCAAATACCTAGATAAATGCATATGGCGAATTCGGAATTAAGAAATGCAAAACATTAAATCATAAAGCACGATATATGAAGGAAATAAAGGGCTCAAAGAGAAAATCCAAAACCGGCAATATTCAAAATGAATCAAAAAGGGGCCCAAAGGCACCAACAAATTACAAAGGTGTAACCGGCATCCCAGACCTTCACGCAGCAAGAGTAGCAGGATGAGTACCAACCTCTTCACCTGCCTCGACCATGGTCTCCTCCCTGCCTTCCGTCTGAGTCACAGAATCACAAGGAGGAGATTCGGGGGGAGGACCGACGATCGCGCCTTGGCTAACGTATGCTTTCGGATGTATTCCGGTGGTATTACTTGCCAATTCTGGGTTGACAACCTTCAGCTGACTTAGAGCATTGTTGAAAGAGCCCACTACCGATTTCTCAAGTTCAACTCGGTAGTTTTCGACAGTGGATTTGGCATCCTTTAACTCTGCTTCAACCTTTTCATACATAATCTTGAAATCGCTCAGCGACTTATGATTGAACGCATGTACGGCTTGAAGTTCATTATGCTCTCGTTGCAGGTTGGTGAAGTTCTCTTTCGTCTTCGCTAACACCAGAGCTGCCTGGTCCTTTTCCTCTTTCACCTGGGACAAATCAGCAAGGGCCTTAGCTTTTTCATCCTGACACATGCTCAGTTCATTAAGGGTGTGAAGATAATTGTAACACCCCGTACGCATCCGGTTTGTTAACATGTCATCGTATTAAGCCACGCTTAATTAAAAATGCAGAATATCCTTTTTCTGTTCAATTATGACGTCATTATTCTTAGCCAAGTTGATTACTTAATCAATTTTCATAAAACATTGCTTGTATATAATTGCAAAAGACAACTAACTGAAATACCTCATGATATAAATAACTGTGAGTATCTAAAATCACGGAACTACAACACGTAGTCCGGACATAATCCTGATACATTATTACAACTCGAATCTAAACAAGACATAGACAGGTCAATGCAGCATGGACAATCCC